TCATGTGGATGTCCCCCAAAGGGTTTTGGAGCTAGACAGAGTGGGATAAAAATGGCTTTTTGTGTCGGGAAATGAAAAAAAGTCTGACTGTCTAAATGATAGGGGCAACAGAGTGGGTTTTAAAATTTTGTTGCGGGAAATTGCTTATATGTTCCTAAAAATTAGCATACACAGAGTGGGATACAATGGCAAATGAGAGTGGTCAAATTATATGATTCTCTCAATGACTGGAGCATACAGAGTGGGATACTATGGCAAATGAGAGTGGTCAAAAAAATTTTCCCTTCAATGACTGACTACACGGGGGGATAAAATGGCAATGAGAGGGGGTCAAATTAAATGATTCTCTCAATGACTGTAGCATACACAGAGTGGGATACAATGGCAAATGAGAGTGGTCAAATTATATGATTCTCTCAATGATGGGAACGTACACAGAGTGGGTTACAATGGCAAATGAGAGTGGTCAAATTATATGATTCTCTCAATGACTGTAGCGTACACAGAGTGGGATACAATGGCAAATGAGAATGGTCAAATTATATGTTTCTCTCAATGACTGTAGCGTACACAGAGTGGGACACAATAGCAAATGAGAATGGTCTATAAGGTTGCCACAATGACCAATGCACAGACAGAATGTTGAATTAGGAATCAACATCACAGCACTCTGGACACTCCCATAAGCGCTTTGTCCCCATCTTCAACAGCAAACAAAGAGTTCCAGTCCTGATGGTACCAGTACTTGTCTCTGACTGTACATCCTTCTTGCCTTTCTCTTGAGTGTTGAGCGTTGGCCAGATCCCATAGAAATTCCCTGCAGCGCCATTCTCCTCAAACCGTAATGCTCTTTAGTGCCTCCTCACTGTCATTATTCACTCCCAAAGAAGGCCCTCCCAACATCTAGCTTGTCATAAATAAATTCACCACCAGGTGGTGCAGAACCGGCCAGTCTATCTGCCTGCTCATTTCCCCGACACACGGACATGACCTGGAGAAAATACCTTAAGGACACTAACTACTCAGGACCTCTGAAGCAATGCTTGCCACTCTGTACGGAACATGCCTGTCTCCACCTTTCTTAACACACACTGTGAGTCAGTTACAATTAGGATATCTGTGTACAGCTGATTCCCAATCCTGCAGAAGGCAGCAGTGACTGCCTCAACCTTCATTCTAAAACAAGACATTGTGACATCATATGTCAGGCTTTGTTGCACTATGTGACGTCCATTTGCTTTTGCTATGAACCCCCATGCATTTCATTTATATCTTAGCACAGAGCCATCTGTATAATCACATCACCGGGGGCAGGAATTGTCATGAGCCATTTGTTGAACTTCTGATTCTGCAGCACCAGCAGGTCAGTCGGTGGACTCACAACCTAAAGTGTTTAGAACCCTACACAAGTCTGAAGCCTGCTGGGAAACTTTGACCCACTCCTCTCCTCACCAAATGTTATCAAGCCTGCTCACGTCTTCACTGTGTCTTCAGCTTGCGCTATCCCAGAACTTCACCGTTTCAGTCTGCGACCCTTATCTCTACCTAGGGTTTCATGCAGGAGGTGCTTCTTGTCTGAAGCTGCTCTGAGATACTCTGGAGCCTATACAGAGTGGGATACAATGGCAAATGAGAATGATATAATTGCCTCAATGATTGGAGCCTACACAAAGTGGGATACAATGGCAAATCAGAATGGTATAATTGCCTCAATGATTGGAGCCTACACAAAGTGGAATACAGTGGCAAATCAGAATGGTATATAATTGCCTCAATGATTGAGCCTACACAAAGTGGAATACAATGGCAAATCAGAATAGTTAATTATATAATTGCCTCAATGATTGGAGCCTACATAAAGTGGAATACAATGGCAAATGAGAATAGTTAATTATATAATTGCCTCAATGATTGGAGCCTACATAAAGTGGAATACAATGGTAAAATCAGAATAGTTAATTATATAATTGCCTCAATGATTGGAGCCTACATAAAGCGGAATGCAATGGCAAATGAGAATGGTAAAATGCCTCAATGATTGGAGCCTACATAAAGTGGGATACAATGGCAAATCAGAATAGTTAATTATATGATACTCACAATGATTGTGGCGTACACAGAGTGGGGTACTGTGGCAAATGAGAATGGTCAGTTGCATGATTCTCTCAACGACTGGAACATTCACAGTTAAAGAAATAACATAAGATATTACTTCTGACTTACCATCAGAGTGTCACACAAGTCATATAGGGAGATTGGTTCCTGATCCTCCGGTAAAAACTCAACCCCAAGTGCAAACTGCTCAGCAGCGATGTCTTCTCCAGACTCAACTGATGGCCTCAAACTAGGAGCATGAAGGGCACCAGGTGTGATCGTTGTCGCTGTACTGTGAACCAATGAAACTCAGATAAATGAATTCTTTACAGTACTGTGAACCAATGAAACTCAGATAAATGAATTCTTTACAGTACTGTGAACCAATGAAACTCAGATAAATGAATTCATTACAGTACTGTGAACCAATGAAACTCAGATAAATGAATTCATTACAGTACTGTGAACCAATGAAACTCAGATAAATGAATTCATTACAGTACTGTGAAAAATGGGAGCCGCAGCGATGTAGTGGCTAGATGCTTGCCTGCTGATTAGAAGGTCATGGGTTCAAGTCCTGACAGTCAAAACTTTTTTCAGGAATGACCTTGGTTCCCAGGTCAACCCAGCCTTATACTGTCCTGGGAAGTAAAGGTGGCCGGTGTGATGTTGACCACATTACCTGCCAAGTGTCAATTGGTCTATAAAATATAGGTCTAGCCCTATATGCCCAATACACCCAAAGGTGTGGAAAAAAGGTCCTTTAGGTCTTGTGACAAATTAAACTCAAGATAACTAACCTCATCGCTGCAGTGTAAACAAAACATGAAATGTGCGTCGCTGATTTCCTGAAATCATTAGATGTAAAATAAATACATTCAATGGGAGGTCACAACAGTTGGGGCTTCAAAATTTGTAGAAGAAAGACAAACATAAAGAGACAGATCAAACAAATGATAAACCCCCTTGATCAAACCCATGTGTCAACTGGCCTTTTTAAGGCCAAACACAGAAGGGAAGAATATAGGTTTCAGTAAATCACAGAGTTGGTAGCTCATTAATAAGACAAACAGTTGTGTGGTGATTTCGGTCACATGCGTGGACGAAGGTTTGGGTAGTTGTGATGTGTATAATGAGATACTCTGTATCGTACTTCAAAGTTAGTGGCCCCCAGAATTCCTCTGGCTTTTATCAGCCACTCTCAATGCATGAATGATAACATCCATAGGAAACTAGTGAAGCCTGCTAATCGAATATACTGCTATACGACAAGTCTTGGCTGAAGCAGCTGTTGACCGAAAGTCCTACTGAATTGCTGATTAGAATAAAAGGTTCATCAGTCAAGTGTCCCACAGTACATAAGAGCAGCGTTTTAGATGTCGGACCATCAAATGTCATGCATTGTGACAGGCAAGGTTCAAATTTCCGCTATACCTGGACCCACTCGTTTAAGTGTCAGGACCATAAGTCAGATCGTCGAATGTTCTAGCCTTTGACAGACAAGGTTCACATGTCTGACCGTAAACTGTTGTACTGTTTGACAGAAAGGTTCAAATGTCTGCTACGATAAAACAGTCAGCCTAGCACTACTGTGCCCAAGGCTTGATATGAATCTTCAACATCTTTACCATGTAAGCATCAGCCATTTTTATGTGCCCTATTTTTAAATGTTTTCCTTTTTTAATTTATTTGTGTGTGTGCCCTTTATTCCCTTATCTGTACCTTACTAAAGACCAGGTCTTTTTCCTAGAAAAACAGGGCTACTACGCACCAGAAAACATTTTATTTGTGTGTGTGCCCTTTATTCCCTTATCTGTACCTTACTAAAGACTAGGGGCTTTTTGCTAGAAAAACAGGGCTACTACGTACCAGAAAATAGCTTAAAAAACAACAACATAAGTGTTATCACACACCACAAAGTTCCTATTATAATAGAGCTGAACAAAAATGACTAAAATAAAAAAGGTACCGGTACTGTACACTGGCGCATTTGCCACAAAATAAAACTCTGACATCAAAGAAACACTCACCTTTCTGTACTTGGATCTACACAGACATCACTGGCTTTGTAGTAGGGGTTCTTCACGCCTACACCGGCCGAGTAGACAAACTTTCCTTCCCTCAGCTTGTAGCCCTTCCTCTGCCGCACCACCAGGGATAAAATATGTTTCACCTGCGTCTGTTAACAAACATACATGTAAGACAGGATGTCTAGAGAGACGGATTTATAGTGAGTTCCAAAAGTTGTGCCCTCAAACTTCTACAAACAGGCTGTCTAAACAGACAGACTTATAGTGAGTTCCAAAAGTCGTGCCCTCAAACTTCTACAATCATACATGTCAGAAAGGCTGTCTAAACTGAGTTCCAAAAGTCGTGCCCTCAAACTTCTACAATCATACATGTCAGACAGGCTGTCTAAACAGACAGACTTATAGTGAGTTCCAAAAGTTGTGGCCTTAAACTTCTACAATCATACATGTCAGACAGGCTGTCTAAACAGACAGACTTATAGTGAGCTCCAAAAGTTGTGCCCTGAAACTTCTACAAACATCCCAAAAATTCCTGTATGGATCAACACAAATTTTGGCACGTGGTCTTAGATTTCCCATGTCCTTATGATTTTTAACTTATAATGGCATGGGTACTGCAGTTTTCTTGAAGTGGTGAATTTCTTTCATCTTTGCTAGACTAATGTGTGTGTTAAAGTAAAGTTAGTTGCATATCCTTTACAGGATTTTGCAGAACCAACCCCAGCATTTTTTGGCTGTTGTGGTTTTTCTAGGCACCTTTACATCCAGTAGTTTGCCCCTGCTTTCTGGATGGTCGGCTTCTTGATACCACCGTCGAAACCAACGCACAGTGCAAGGACCGCAGCTGGGATCGAACCCGGCACCCCGGCATTACGAAGCGCATTTGCAACGCCTAAGCCAGAGACGCCGACAATGTGTGTGTACCCCATACAAATAATAGATTAAATTACACAAACTTTTTACAAAACATGATGTATCCACTTCACTGTTTGAAAAAAAAACAATAGCTCATCTTGGTTTTTCACAAGAATCACTTCTAAAACGCATAAAATTTGATGTTCTGCAAAGTTCACATCACTCCATTAACCGTAAGTATGCTAACTGTGTGCTTTAAATTGGTGTGTGTTTTCATATACCACAAATAAGGTAAAAAAAATCAGATCTTTGTTTACATAACATTATTTTCCTATAAGGACATGATTATTAACAGGCTGCCTGCCAAATTGCAAAAATGTAAATGGAAACACAAATTTTTAAAGTTTTTTTTTTAACTGCGCTATAATTGTACCAGTCGGCTCTGTGGCTAAGTCATTGCGAATACTTCGTAATTCTGGGGTGCCGGGTTCGATCCCAGCTGCGAGCCATGCACTTTGCGTTGGTTTTCGACAGTGGTATCACGGGGCCGACCATCCAGAAAGAAATGGCAAACTACTCGATGTAAATTTGCCTAGAGAAACCACACAACAGCCATGGGATGCTGGGGTTGGTTCTGCAACGTCCTTTTAAGGATACGCAACTAACTTATAAGTGTACCAGGTTTTATCCTACATCACTCGGTCTGTCTTTCTGCATGGCAGCTTCTTGAGTGTTGAATGTTGAATCAAGAATCAACATCACAGCACTCTGGACACCCCCATTAGTGCTCTGTCTCCATCTTTAGCAGCAAGCAAAGAGTTCAAATTCCAATGGTACCAGTAAGTATCTGATCGTACATCCGTCTCACCTTTTCCTTGAGTGCTGAGCGTCCAGGGATACATCTCCTCACTCATTCCTTGCCTGAACAACAAGCCTTCTTTAGGCCTGCCCAAATCTACATCCTTCTTCTTTACATTTGCCAGCTGTAAACTCCAGTGGAGAATTCTGGTTATTCTTCCACTTCTGGACTCTTGTTGCGAAACCTGAGATTTGCATGCACATGCACTTCACAGATCTGGCTTACATGTATGCAGTCTGTTAGTTCATCTGGCCTACATGTATGCAGTCTGTTAGTTCATCTGGCTTACATGTATGCAGTCTGTTAGTTCATCTGGTGTACATGTATGTAGTCTTTTAGTTCATCTGGCTTACATGTATGCAGTCTGTTAGTTCATCTGGCTTACATGTATGCAGTCTGTTAGTTCATCTGGCTTACATGTATGCAGTCTGTTAATTCATCTGGCTTACATGTATGCAGTCTGTTAGTTCCTTGCCTCTCAGGCAGATGCTCTGTGACTTCAAAGGTAAAACCTCTAATTAGTCTACTTTTATGGCATGCTTAAGGTTGGAGGGAGCGGGGGAACTGGGTCTATCCCCCCCCCCCCCCCCCCCACCAACCGACACAGGGATACCTACATTTTACCTCATCCCCATTAAATATGCTCAGGTTTCCCTTCCAATATCTAATCAATATTAATTGTGTCATGACATCTAAGATAATATACAAACAGGTACATGAACTAAGGTACATGACCAAACAGGTGCATGAACAAACAGGTACATGAACTAAGGTACATGAACAAACAGGTGCATGAATACTTCCAACACCCAGTGCACCCACCTCCAAGGCCAGCATAAGAAGCTTAACTGCTGCCTCTTGTACATCTGCAAGACCCGTCTCCCAAGCACACACCAGCATCCTCCCGTGAACCATTGCCATATCCGGCATCAGTCCCTCTCTTGCCACAAACCCTGAAATAATCATTGTTAGGTTAAAATTACTGAACCCATAGGATAAAAAAGAGACAAAGATGTAAACTTTTGATAGCTCTGGTAATTATGTTTGTCCATAGCCTTTCATCACATGTACTGTCAATCATTTTTGATACAGGTATGCTCTGACGCCATGATGGCAAACTGTCCTCCATCATCTCTCTTGGTTTCCCTTCTCCTTTCTTCCACTTCCAACTTTCCTGTGGTCATAACACAGGCCAGTTTTTCCCTTCTCACGATGTGCCCAATAGTTGATGACCACTGGGTGGTAATGCAGTGCTCAGAGTCCAAGTAAAAGTTTCTTCTTAGCATTCACTGACTGCAAACTTCTGACTGTTCATCCACTTTTGGACTTTGGTCTGGTTCCAGAACTTATCTGTCTGCAGACTGTTGGTTCCTCACCTCTCAGGCTTCAACTTTGAAGGAAACACCCCTAAATAATCTATTTCTATGGTTTATTTATTGGAGGTGCGGGCCAGTGGATCTATTCTCATTTGTCCTCACAAGAACCCACACAGACAAGTAAATATTTTAAAAAAATCCCCACCCCCAATGGAAGATCACACACATGGCCATTGGGTAGCACTATAAGCTTGCACCACAACATCATGTTTGAGAATGGAGGTAGAGGCAGTTACAACAGCTTTCTGCTAGCTTGAGAACCATCTGCAAATACCCAAGGGGTTTAAGCCCCCCCCCCCCCCTTCCAAATTCATTTTTGCCTTGAATATGTGTCAGGTAGGAAAAGGAAGGGGAGAGTGAAGGGTTCGGTGGGGGTGCAGCCAAGTTACTCCAATGTTTCTTTGTGCTGGTGCAGCTGAATGATGCTGCTCATAGTTTTAGATACCAATCGGCCCCATGCACTGAATCAGTTTTTCCTGACCGCAAAGTAACAATATTCATGGAAACTGGAATTTACTGTGCATTACACAGTAAAAGCAAACAAACTTACCAGATACTACAGTGTTTAATAAGTAACACAATAGTTCTTAACCCAGTGCAACAAAACACAGGTTACAAAAAAATGCACTGTTACCCACACAACAATACACAGGTTGCTAGAATGTATTGCCAATCACAAAGTAACAATACACAGGTTGCTAGAATATATTGCCAATCACAAAGTAACAATACACAGGTTGCTAGAATGTATTGCCAATCACAATATAACAATACACAGGTTGCTAGAATGTACTGCCAATCACAAAGTAGCAATACACAGGTTGCTAGAATGTATTGCCAATCACAAAGTAACAATACACACGTTGCTAGAATGTACTGCCAATCACAAAGTAACAATACACAGGTTGCTAGAATGTGTTGCCAATCACAAAGTAACAATTCACAGGTTGCTAGAATATATTTATTGCCAATCACAAAGTAACAATTCACAGGTTGCTAGAATGTAAAGCCAATCACAAAGTAACAATACACAGGTTGCTAGAATGTAATGCCAATGACTGAGTAACAATACACAGGTTGCTAGAATGTATTGCCAATCCCAATGTAACAATACACAGGTTGCTAGAATGTAATACCAAAGACTGAGTAACAATACACAAGTTGCTAGAATGTATTACCAATCCCAATGTAACAATACACAGGTTGCTAGAATGTACTGCCAATCACAAAGTAACAATACACAGGTTGCTAGAATGTACTGCCAATCACAAAGTAACAATACACAGGTTGCTATAATGTATTGCCAATCACAAAGTAACAATACACAGGTTACTAGAATATATTTATTGCCATTCACAAAGTAACAATTCACAGGTTGCTAGAATATATTTATTGCCAATCACAAAGTAACAATTCACAGGTTGCTAGAATGTAATGCCAATCACAAAGTAACAATACACAGGTTGCTAGAATGTAATGCCAATGACTGAGTAACAATACACAGGTTGCTAGAATGTATTGCCAATCCCAATGTAACAATACACAGGTTGCTAGAATGTAATGCCAAAGACTGAGTAACAATACACAGGTTGCTAGAATGTATTGCCAATCCCAATGTAACAATACACAGGTTGCTAGAATGTACTGCCAATCACAAAGTAACAATACACAGGTTGCTAGAATGTACTGCCAATCACAAAGTAACAATACACAGGTTGCTATAATGTATTGCCAATCACAAAGTAACAATACACAGGTTACTAGAATATATTTATTGCCATTCACAAAGTAACAATTCACAGGTTGCTAGAATATATTTATTGCCAATCACAAAGTAACAATTCACAGGTTGCTAGAATGTGTTGCCAATCACAAAGTAACAATACACAAGTTGCTAGAAAGAAATGCCAATGACTGAGTAACAACACACAGGTTGCTAGAATGTAATGCCAATCACAAAGTAACAATACAAAGGTTACTAGAATATATTTATTGCCATTCACAAAGTAACAATTCACAGGTTGCTAGAATATATTTATTGCCAATCACAAAGTAACAATTCACAGGTTGCTAGAATGTGTTGCCAATCACAAAGTAACAATACACAGGTTGCTAGAAAGAAATGCCAATGACTGAGTAACAACACACAGGTTGCTAGAATGTAATGCCAATCACAAAGTAACAATACACAGGTTACTAGAATATATTTATTGCCATTCACAAAGTAACAATTCACAGGTTGCTAGAATATATTTATTGCCAATCACAAAGTAACAATTCACAGGTTGCTAGAATGTGTTGCCAATCACAAAGTAACAATACACAGGTTGCTAGAATGTAATGCCAATCACAAAGTAACAACACACAGGTTGCTAGAAGTTTACCTAGAGGAGTGGGACTTGCTCCTTCCTCAAGTGCCTTGCTGGTTGTTTGTGGTACATAATCAATGACTGGTGCAGCTATAAAACGTTGCTGTAAAGAAAACATACGGCCTGTAACATGATGATGCTGTGGCTATAGATATAGATATATTTTTTTAACCACTTACCAATAACAACACACGTATGTCATCAGTGGCTTAGCAATGTAGTTTAATAAGTCAGAAATCATGGGTTCAATTCAGTTACAGGTGATTTGACAGAAGACCCTTTTGTATTTGATTCAACTCTTTCGTGACAAGGAAGGCATTGTGTGTTGATTTATTGCTAATTAAACTTTCCACTAGTACAATGCTATGAGCAATGGATCATTTAGAAAGCAATGGCAAACTACTTTACATAAAACTGTTTAGTAAAACCATAAACAGGCAATGAATGCCAGATTTAAATTAAAAAACAATTTCTTCTGTTCTCCAAAAACATAATTAGGGGGAAAAAGGGGGGGGGGGGGGGGGGGGGGGGGGGGGGGAACCTGATGCAGATATGAAAAGACCTGATGCAGATATGAACTTTAGACCTTCAGTTGCCAGGTGAGTGTATAGCCACTATGCTTCTACAGCAACCTCTAAACAATATGTAGAAAACGATTAAAAGAAGGTTCTATGTTCTTTCTGCATCATCTCTTCCTGTATTCTTCTTCTTCTTCTTCTTCGCCTTCACCAGCTGTACACTCTGTTGGAAAGTTCTGGTTGTTCGTCCACTTCTGAACTGCAGTCCTGCTCCAGAACCTGAGTGTTTTTGCGTGTGCATCAGTTTTACAGATCTGATTCACTTGAATGCAGACTGTTGGTTCCTTGCCTCTCAGGCAGATGCACTCCGACTTTAAAGGCAGCTTCCCAATTAGTCGACTCTTATGACATGCTTTTGGGTAGGCAGAGGGTCTATTCTTGTTTTCCCGGAACCCACACGGGGATCTTCCTGTATTTTATAGTTATTCATATGTGAGGACTAGTGGCCAAGATACGCTGCCCCTTTTTCTTGGCATCCTTTTTGTTAATAAAGGCTTTCACCAAAATGTCAAATTTTTCTTGTGTGTGTGTGTGTGTTGCAGACCCCCCCCCCCCTCCCCACCTCTTTAAATTCTGGTTAAGTGTCTTAGTCATAGTTTACTGGATTCATTAAAAAATATGCAACTAATTAACTAATACAAACACACATGTCTGTTGAGATGTTGAGATGCACGCTAGCCTCTGCCACATACACTGCTCAACTCTTTCTATCTAAGAACTCTCCTGTTTTCAAGACAGGAAATCAGCAAGGTGAGAATCACAAGTGCGTTGTTTTTAAGGAGGATAGATATACAGCAGAAGAGGCTATTGGAGAAGCCAGATTTTTAAAAATAGTTAGTTGCTATTCCTCTACAGGAAGTTGCAGAACCAACCCCAGCATTTTTTGGCTGTGGTGGTTTTTCTAGGCATATGTTACATTCGGTAGTTTGCCACTGCTTACTGAATGGTCAGCTCTCATTACCACTGTTGAAACCAATGCAAGACAAATCGTCCTCAGCTAGGATTGAACCTGGCACTCCGGTATTACAAAGTGTATTCACGATTCCCAAGCCACAGACTTAGACCAAATGCAAAAAGTATGAGCACATACTATATGATGGCTACAACTCTTGGTTAACAACATATCACTGTTTGGCAGTCTTTTCTCTTGAGCCTAGGGCGGCACATATGGCAGAGGACATAGCTCTCCATGACTGGTGGTTTGTTGCCACCTGTTTTGGGTGTTTAGTAGATCCAAGGTTGAGCCTTCCCTAATTATGGTTCTATGCAGAGTTTCTCTTGATCTTCCCCATTTTATTTTACCTTTGGGTTTCCATATGGTTGGGGCGGGAGGGGGGGGGGGGCGCTAGTCTTATTCATTGTGTTTATGGCCGATGCAGTTCCAGCAGCGCTTTCTTATAAACCTGGCAGTGAATGAGTTAAATCTCTTTGTTTTTTTAACATCCGTTCAAACCCATGCACAGCTGGAACTCACTCACCTAACACACACACGCGCACATACACACAAACTTTGGCCAAACCTGTCATAAAGTTATATTTTTAAAAAAGTGACAAACACACACCTGCAGATTGGCTCTGCCACCTGGGGGTCTTTTCTTGACTTTTGCCACCTTCTGCACTTTACTCGAACTGCTGGCATCCCTGGCATCTGAAATTTAATGAGGACAGACCAGTCGAGGTCCTGTCAGGGATACAACAACTAACTACTGCAGTTCTCATGTGGGTCTTTGGGGGCGGGGGGACCAAAGAATAGACCTGCTGCCCCTCAACCATCATGTCAGGAGGATTCTGTGTCACACAACACGACTACTTAAGGACTTCCTGAAATCAGATGTGTTGGGCCAAAAGATGGAGATATCACAGCCTAGCTGTGAAAAGAACCTTTTAATACAGAACACAGAAGAGAAGAAGGAGAAACTACCCCAATGTGACAAGGCAGAAGTAGATCAGATGTTATGGTTTGCCTCAGGCTCCTGCAGGTTCCGTTCATCTCATAATGTTGACTGTGTACATCATTTTTTTTAACAAAAAAGAGAATGAACTGAGTGATTAAATGGAGTACATTCCCCAGGATCTATTACATAACGAATGCTTATAAATAATTTTCAATGAATTTGTAGCCATTGTAAAACTTATTTTAAAAGATTTTGTTAAGAATTCCCAGGGAGTCAAGAGCCATTTCTTTTAGGTTACCGGGGCCAGAGGGTTTCAATAAAGAATGGTGTCAGACATGTTTTATAGGTGTGACACCGTTTTAATTTTTTTAGTAGGCCCACACTTTCGTTAACATGAAAAACACTGATTTCTGTGTTTCCATTTCTCAAAGAATGTTTATTTGAGTGCTCATAAAAATTGGAAAGTTAGTCTGGCTTCGACACAAAGTTATTCTGGCTTTGACACAAAGTTATTCTGGCTTTGACACAAAGTTATTCTGGCTTTGACACAAAGTTATTCTGGCTTTGACACAACGTTATTGACTACTGAGTAGCCACCCATTTATTGTTAAAGCTCACAAGCAAACTAATCCCAGGTAGTCACTGGCTAAGTATATCAACAGTATCTGGTATAGTTGTTCACAAATAATAATTAAGTCATGGGAGACTAGCGAATGCGATTTGGAGTAATAACTACACATCATCCTCTCTACCACAACTAACTTTATAATTCCGACTACACAAAAGGAACACTTATCACAAGTATGAACAACTACTCTGTCCTCTCCGCTGCTCTAGATTGAGCATGTGCCCAGCGAAACAAAGTTTCACATTTTAGGGGTACCAAACAGGCACATCCGTCCCCTGGACTGTCAAACTACCACTGCCATGTATTGGTCTACCCATTTGTCAAGTCCCCTTGAAAACTTCTCTCCCCTGTAACACTCAGTTACCCTAACAACCCTGCTCATCTTGTCTACACACATCTACACACAATCCGTCTGACCAGTAATTGTCCCATCTGCTTTTATGAGTCAAAGTCTAGTTGTTATCTGTCCTTCTCTCACAGTGTGTGGTCAAGTTGACTAGTGACAAGTGGGTTATAGATAACAAAGTTATCTCAATGTTAGATATTGGTTACAAATCAAAAACTTTTATATTTTATGAGGTAGAATGAGAGATTGGCCAGTGTATCCAGTCAGTTTCATTAACAAATAATCATTGCACAAAGTATTAATCATACATACTGAAAGAAGAACTCAAAATATGGCACTTGGCAATAAGAGCAAGTAGGAACTCATTGTGCAAATGAACTGAAACAGAGCAGAAACATACGCATTAAACAATAATCAATATGTTTATTGGCATACACTTTACATTTATTTGTAGCAAAGATATATTTTGTATAGGATTTGTTATTTAAACGTTTTTTTAACTTACTTCGCATCTGCAATGTCTAAACAGACACATTGTAGTCAACAGACACATTGTAGTCAACAGACACATTGTAGTCAACAGACACATTGTAGTCAACAGACACATTGTAGTCAACAGACACATTGTAGTCAACAGACACATTGTAGTCAACAGACACATTGTAGTCAACAGACACATTTTAGTCAACAGACATTTTAGTCAACAGACACATTGTAGTCAACAGACACATTGTAGTCAACAGACACATTGTAGTCAACAGACATTGTAGTCAACAGACATTGTAGTCAACAGACATTGTAGTCAACAGACACATTTTAGTCAACAGACACATTTTAGTCAACAGACACATTTTAGTCAACAGACACATTTTAGTCAACAGACACATTTTAGTCAACAGACACATTTTAGTCAACAGACACATTGTAGTCAACAGACACATTTTAGTCAACAGACACATTTTAGTCAACAGACATTGTAGTCAACAGACATTGTAGTCAACACACATTGTAGTCAACAGACATTTTAGTCAGCAGACACATTGTAGTCAACAGACATTTTAGTCAACAGACACATTGTAGTCAACAGACACATTTTAGTCAACAGACATATTTTAGTCGACAGACACATTGTAGTCAACAGACAAATACTTACCAGTGTCATTTCTCATCAGCTTTCGGGCTTCAAAGTCAAACTCCTCTTTGTTGATCTGAGGATGGACATAAGGCAGTTGTTCAGACAGTTGGTTACATAACCAAATGAAGTAATACAAAATACAATATAAATTAAAAAAAAAAAAAAAAAAAAACTACTTCCATGTGAGATGAGGGAGCAGGTAACTGAGACATGCTGGACTTGTACCAAGAGATGGGTACTCTGAGTGCTTTTTGTTCCTGCTAGAAACAAAGGTACCGGTACTCACAACACAGTGTCTTAAAATGAATGAAGGAATGAAGTTTGAACAACGGATCAACATCATGGCACACAGGTAGTAACCCATAATTGCTCCGTTCTTCTTCTAACTCAAGTCTGAGTCCGAAGAAGCTCAGCACAGTGCACAGGCAAGGATGCTGAAATACTTTGGGTAGATTTCTAGCTCTAAATTTTGCCCAGGCAGCGCCGTTAGGCTACTCTTTTCTATTTCCAACTGCCAAGGGATTTTCTACGTGCACAACAATGCACACGGGTGTCCGATCTCACTACCCAGAGATGCTGGGATTGAAGTCCTTGTGAAAAAAACTTACTGGGGATTGCACTCCAGCACTCAAGGTGGACACCATGCCTCGAGACCACGCAGCACCCTTGAAAGAATGAATGAACCAAGAATTAACATCACTGCACTCAGGACATTCCCACATGTACTCTGTCCCCACCTTCAGTAGCCAGCAAGGAGATGGCATGCTAATAGCACCAGTTGCAACTGGATTAAAAGTCCGCCCCTGTTTCCCCCCTCAATGTCTTCCAGAACCTCTCCTCACCCCCATGCTAAACAATACATTTAAATAATGCTGAATAAAGAATCAACATCACAGCACTCGGGACACTCCCATAAGCGCTCCGTCCCCCATCTTCAGCAGCAAGCGAGGAGTTCCAACTCCGATGGCACCATTATTTGTCTGATTTTATATTCGACTCACCTTTTCCCCCTGAGTGTTGAGCGCAAGCCAGATCCCCTTGTAACTCCTCGAAGCGCCATTCTCCCCAGAAATAATGATCTATCAGTGCCTCCGCACTGTACATTTAAAAAATGCGGAAACCAACATTACAGTGCACGATTTATTGCCTGGCAAATTGTTTGTGTGTGTATTATTTTAATGACAACATATCTTGGATTCAAATCTACTTTAGTACCTAAAATGGGTACCACGTAAAAACCTGAGAAGTAAATGCTGACTACATCACCCATCAAGGGCTGAATTGGTCTATCAAAATATGAACCTAGCATCATATGCCCGATGTGCCATTGACATGAAAAAGGTATTTACACAAAAACAATGTTTTGAAAAAATGATAAACCGCATCTGTGGCATTAGGGTTATGAATGCAGTTTCTTAATTCCAAAAAAAAAAAAAAAAAAAAAAAAACAAGGTTCAAAGACCCTGGATAAATCCCTCAAAAAAACCGCCCAGATTTGGATTTTAATTCAAGACCTTCAGGCACTGACTGCACCGCTGCTGATAATAAATATGTTGATGGCAATAACGATGATGAAGTATAAATGACAATACTGATTTCCTGTGTGGGTTCCAGGGCCCAATTGTGGGGAAAACAAGAACAGACTGACTGCCTCCTTAACAAGCATGTCGTAAGAGTCGACTAACTGGTGGCTTCCTTTGAATTGGAGTGCATCTGCCTGAGAGGCAAGGAACCTACAGTCTGCATACAGATAAGTCAGATGTATAAAACGGATATGAACATAATGCTGAAACAAGACAAAAGTCTGGAGGTGGACAAATATCCAGAACTTTTCACCTCAGGTTACAGCTGGTGAACGAGAAAAAGAAGAAGAGAAGAAGAAGACAATATTGATTATCTAAAGGTAAAGTCAATGACATTAAAAACAGTGACTGTGCCGCTCACCTTTCTTTTAAACCAGGAATTGAGATTCTGCAAGTATCTATAAAAACATCAACAATTCAGTTAGCATGGAAACACTGCAATAGTTTGAGGCTAGTATGGAAACAATTTAAAGATTCATGTTAATATGGAAACAATTTTAACTATCAAATGTAAATATGGAAACAATTAAACTATCCAATGTTAATATGGAAACAATTTTAACTATCCAATGTTAATATGGAAACAATTTTAACTATCCAATGTTAATATGGAAACAATTTTAACTATCCAATGTTAATATGGAAACAATTAAACTATCCAATGTTAATATGGAAACAATTTTAACTATCCAATGTTATTATGGAAACAATTAAACTATCCAATGTTAATATGGAAACAATTTTAACTATCCAATGTAAATATGGAAACAATTAAACTATCCAATGTTAATATGGAAAACAATTTTAAACTATCCAATGTTAATATGGATATCAAGCATTTTAACTTGATTCCATCCAATGTTAATATGGAAACAATTTTAACTATCCAACATTAATATGGAAACAAGGAAACTATGTCAATGTTAATATGCAAACAATTTTAACTATCCAATGTTATTATGGAAACAATTAAACTATCCAATGTTAATATGGAAAAAAATTTAACTATCAATGTTATTATGGAAATAATTTAACTATCCATTGTTAATATGAAAACAATTTTAACTATCCAATGTTAATATGGAAACAAATAAATTATCCAATGTTAATATGGAAACAATTTTAACTATCCAATGTTAATATGGAAACAATTAAACTATCCAATGTTAATATGGAAACAATTTAACAATCCAATGTTAATATGGAAGCAATTTAACTATTCAATGTTAATATGGAAGCAATTTAATATTCCAATGCTAGTATGGAAACAATTTAATATTCAATGTTAGTTGGAAAAATTTAGATTCAATCATAAGTTGGAAACAATTTATGATTCAATGTTACTGGAATGGATATGATTCATTGCAGTTTGGAAACCTTGATTCCATGTTATAGATACCGTAAATCTGTTAGATGGAAAAATTTGTGGATTTTAGTCTGCCTACCCCAAATTCATGTTACTCGGAAACACAAGGAGTTTGTCACCCGGTAGTAAGGCAGAATTTTTTTTTTTTTAACTAATGTTAATATGGCAAAAATTTACTGATTGACTGTTAGTATGGAAAAAAATGTAACGATTCATTTTTAGTATGGACATAATTTAATGAATTGTTAGTATGAAACCAATTTATTTGTTATTATGGAAGCAATTTAAGAATCCAATGCTAGCATAAATGCATTTTTCAATGTTAGTACTGGATAAAAAAAAGCCAGATGACAATGGTTAGTATAAATACTTAATTTCAATCCTATATGGAAATCATTTATGATCAACAATGTTTTATACCAAAACCCTCTTTTATTGATTCAATGTTAATAAATGTCAAACTTTAATGATTCAATGTTAGTATGGAAACAATTTAAAATGATTCAATGTTAGTATCAAAAACAATTTAATGATTCAATTTAGTATGGAAACAATTTAATGATTCAATGTTAGTATGGAAACAATTTAATGATTCAATGTTAGTATGGAAACAATTTAATGATTCAATGTTAGTATGGAAACAATTTAATGATTCAATGTTAGTATGGAAACAATTTAATGATTCAATGTTAGTATGGAAACAATTTAACGACTCATTATTAGTATGGAAACAATTTTTCAATTAAATGTTAGTATAGCAACAATTTAACAATTAAATGTTAATATGGAAACAATTTAACGACTCAATATTTATGGAAATTATGTCATAGCAGGGGAAAATGTTAGTGGTATAAACAGCATAAAATGCCAATTTAACAATTAAATGTTAGTATAGAAATAATTAACATTTTATGCTACATAAAAATATTGTAGGCTGCAATATCCGGCCTGCTGCATAAAGCTGGATAACCAAACAGCCAGATATGCTGGAGTTCTATAAATACTTAGTTTCATTCCTATCCAAATCATTAAAACATGTTTTATACCAAAATCCTCTCTTATTCATGTTTTCTGACCTCTTAATAAAAGTCAGCACTTTATCAATCTTTATTAAGTATTCTACTTTATGCTGTAAACATTTATTACAGAAAAAAGGAAACAAAAAAAGTAAAAATATTGTTCACATTTTAAGATGAAATTAATAATGTCTTATTTTAAACTGCACCACAAATAAAATCATGTGATGCATGCCTGCTGCGACTTGGCAAAGTAAATTATTCCTCACTGCAGTGATCTTCATTGTTATTAATTGCTGGCTCGAATGAGTCACCGCATCTTTCCATTCACCAACTGACGAGAACGAGAAAACATGGACGCTGGCAGACGTTCAGAAGTTACACGTACTGTTTATTTTCACTCGCTGTTGTTGCAGTCAGTAAATGTTCATGTACAACCGTAGCACTCTTAATCAATGATCTAAACAGTCAATCATACCTTTGTAACATCGTCGAATACACACAATTCATAGAAAACACAGTAGCTCCCTCCATCCAGAACGACAGTCATCACAGCTGGCCACCGTTTCCGTCAGCCGCTATTTTATGCCAGGTAGGCATTGGGAAATCACGCTATTCAGACGACAACATTCTTCCGAACTTTCCACACGTACACCTTTCCCTTGGCCTAAACGAGACTGCCTCACAAACCTTTTCTTCGCTATTATATAGCCCTCTGATCTGTCCTGTTCTCGAATATTCTGGATAATTTCATTCTCTTATGGCATGCCTGTTAAGCAAGCAGTGGGTCTATTATTTTTTCAACCCCCAAAATAGCGCCCCGGAACCCATACAGGGAGAACAAAATTTCACTAACTTTTAAGTCACAGTCTCTAACCTCTAAGTCAAACATCTGAAACTCAAAGAAACTCAACAGTAAAACAAAACTTTAGATCTTCAACTCCTGTGTGATCTCAGTGCTAACTTATAGATGCAAAGGTTGGAAAGCAACGGTAACTCTAGATTTAAAAAATTTAGACAGATTTAGAACACGTCTTAGAAGAATATTGCTCTATCTTCCGAATAACAGCCCCAAATTATCGAGGCCGACAATATACCCTAACAGGGCCTCAGTCATGTGTCAATTGCGGCCTTTCGCCACCGCGGAGACTCCTGCACCTCCGAGAGTATCTCCCATGCAGCTACGCGGATTGGGGCTAAACTAGATGGCTGGGACTCACGAGCAAATAAAATGAAGGAAGCTGCAGGAGATGATGTAGCTGCTGCTCGTGAGTCCCAGCCATCTAGTTTAGCCCCAATCCACACAGCGCGTAGCAGTGTGGGAGATACTCTTGGCGGTGGCGACAGTTGCTGGAAGTGCGCACTTTAAGTCGCCAGAAGTCTGCAATTGACACGTGACTGAGGTCCTGTTAGGGTATATTGTCGGAAAATAGCCAAATATTAAATCTCCAGTGGATAGATTTCAGATCAACAGACCACACAAGACAATGTATCCAGTTTTATAAGAAAGTGCCACTGGACCTACAAGGCACATGCACCCAGAATGGATTAGACAAGACAAAAATTCTCCATTAAGCACATGTCATAATAATATAATAATAATATACAGTAATATACGTCTCTCAAGGAGGCAGGATGACAGTAGACGTTGTTGAATCAGCAACACTTAATAGGCTTCAAGAACTTCATGTCAAAAGAACACTATAGAGGCAGCCAAAGAAGAATAGTAAACCAACAAAGTAAAGAACTGGTGTCAACAATTAATCGAAAAACGCTCAGGGATATAATGATGATGGGATCTGAGCGCTTATTGGTTTGTCCGATGTGCAATAAGCTGAGCTGAGGATACTAATATGTCGATTAAATACATGAAACATGTCTAAAATCTAAAAATACCTTCAGTTTCATGAGTGTCATCTGATTATCATCATATGACATGAAAAATCGGCAATCCTCCGACTAACGGTCGGTAAAGATAGCGGCCGCAAAATATCCTGATGAGCCACAGTCACGAGTCAATTGCGCACTAGCGGTCACGAGCACATCGTGGGAAAACTAGGATTAGTTTCTGTTGACAATTCCGAGAAACGGAACAAACCGCCGAGTTAAACTCGCCGCCGAGAGTCTCCCCAGCGCCGCTATGTGCGGCGCGGATGGGGCTATACTAGATGGCTGGGACCCACAAGCAGCAGCTTCCGCATCTCCTGCATCTTTGCTCGTGGGTCCTAGCCATCTAGTTTAGCCCCATCCGCGCTTCGCGTAGCGGCGCTGGGGCTACTCTCGGCAGTGGCAGTAGTCACCTGAAAACCGCCAATTAAGTCGCCGGAAGCTCGCAATTGACACGTGACTGAGGTCCTGTTTTTGGTCGGCATCTTTTGTGCCGGTCTGTGGATGCTACTAAAAAGAAAGCTGCGCTACCAGTGCGGGACCAGCCGCGCCTTGTTCCGATCGTACTTAGCCGAGTTTCAATGGCGTAACAGCCACAAACAGCAGATTTTCGAGCACTATTTAGAACATCTGTGCTATAATTTCCAAATATAAAGGCATTATCAGTAAGTAGTCGATTTGACATAACTTTTTTCCCGTTCCTTATTAGTTTTGACTTCAATTTTTGAATGTTTACAACACATGACACGTAACTGTGGCTCGAAAGGATATTTTACAGCCGCCATCTTTACCGACCGTTAGTCGGAGGATAGCCGAAAAATCAAATATTCAGTATATATAATTCAGAAATGATGATTAAAGTGATTATTTTAATTAACTTTATTTTTGGATTCATACAGTGGCAGTCCAATATGAATAAAAATACTACAATTATCCACATATTATCAAATGCACACATTAGTCTCAACACACAACGAACGTTGTTTCTTACAATTTCATGGAATCGCCAAGAACGTCGGCCAAATTTTTTCTGGCTATATTCAGATCTGTTGACATCGCCATTTTGGATATGAGTGCCCTCTTTTTCGAATTTCTTAGCACAAACGAGCTACCACAGTCGAGTAAACAAGTGACAATCTGGTAACTCGTGTGCCGGCATCTTCCTATGTCAAGATTGGAGATTTTAAAGTACTGCTGCCTCTTTCTTACTATTTCTTCGCCAATCTTACTTTTTCTTGTCGTCTCACTGGCCTAGTGTCGTGGTTTTCAGTGATTGTTTCGCGCTTCTCAGGTCGCTTGAGTATTAGATGTTTTTTTTTTTTTTCAGGTTTCATCAACTACACCATTTCATTTATCTACTTTTTTTTTGGACATATGTTTTGCAATATATATATATAGGGGGTCCTATTCACGTTTCGCGGCCCATCTACACACTGGCTGAGCTTTCATTCATGCTTTCTCAGATTCTTCTACGTCAGAGGGGTGTCACGTTGTCTTGCCTCCAATGGTATTAGCGCCGATGTCACGTGCTCTATAATACTACACGACGAAACAGCTTTTAACGACCCCAGAACATCTAGAAATCGCTCAAACCCCCCTACCGACAACCTTAGCCTGGGTCTCACGAAAGACTTTTTTTTATAGAAAAACAGTTCAACGTGACACGCCTCTGACCTAGACAAAAATGAAAAAGTGTGTAGATGGGCCGGGAAACGTGAATAGAACCTATTGGGAATATCCTAGTATCCTTCTTATAAAACTGGATTCATTATCTTGCTTGGTTTCTTGTCAGATTTGCGTACTGGATCTGAAATCTGTCTTGTGCAGATTTAGTCGTCTTAGACATTTGTTCTTAAAATTGCCCAGCTGCTTTCCAACTCTCGCATCCATAAGTTAGCACTAGGATCACACAGGTGAAGATCTTCAGTTTTGTGTGTTTGTTGAATGTGTTGCCCCGTGTTCTTTCAGTCAACTCCGGCACAAATGATCTTCATGCTATGAAATCCAACCGTTTAGCGTCTTCTCTCTTGGTCGCCTCCTGCCTTTTTGTCATCACTGTGTCTAAAAATGTTGATCCGCGTCTTTCTTTCAAGGCTGTTTATGCTGTCATCTTCTGTTCTCTGATTGTCGCGTCTTTCTCTCTTGTTAATTTACAAATGTTTTAGTTATGTTATCGTAATCGACGTTATTGGGGGTTAGGAAAAGAATTCTATCATGCTATATAGAGCTAGTTTTAAGCCTGAACAATTAATAAACTATCGGAACAATATCTTGAGGCCTCGGAGATCGGGTTGTACCGAAGAATCCTTAGAATTCCCTGGACAGCTAAGAAGAGCAACCCAGATGTGTTGAAAGAAGCGAATGCTCGCAGGCAACTAATCACAAACATCAGAAAGAGACAGTCATCATTTTTGGGTCATGTTATGAAAAGAGGGGAAACTGGAACATCTTGTGACCACTAGAAACATCTCTGGAAAGAGAGACAGACGAGGACAGCGTGAGAAGATTCTTGAGTCTTTTGTCATGGCAGGGGTGTCAACAGCACCAAGCTATAATTGTGGTTTGTAATAAATCTCGCCACCGTTCCTCAAATACGAGGCGTTATTTATCACAAAAGACAGTTGCAAGTGTTATGTGTTGAGCTTACAATTACTGACAATATTTGATTTTAAATGTTGTTGGTTTTTTCTGGGTTTGTAAGGACTGGGTATCAAGATCTTGACGTACTGTCTCGTTACAAACTTTGTCCCTTCTTGTCACTTGGACCACCTTTCTTGGATATCTCATTTCTGAGACCTGAAGCTGGCTTCTGTGAGCTGTTGTCATTGCCCATGACTTGCAGTCGTAGGTCAGGACTGGTACATAGGTAGAGCGATAAACAGCCATTTTCCTCCTATTGCCGATTTCTCTTAACCCTCAGTTTATGGACTGAAAAAGTCTTCCGGCTGCTGCCACGCATCCTAAATCCCTTTATTTCCCATTGTATGGTGAGTCTCTGCTAGCAAGTGGCTGTGCTATGTTGAAAACAAGGGTTGCATTAGTGTATGTAAAGGGGCGGTACAGACATGCCTCATACTGAGAAAATCTATCACTCGACCCTGGTTTTCAGATACTTCATTTTTCCTGGTTTCCTCCGGTACCCTCCCCCCACCGCCCCTTCCCTTCGACCCAATCCTCCTTCGCAAGCTTATCTTTCCTTAATTCCATTTTCACTTCGTAGGGGTATCTGTGGGGGAATGGTAAAACTGTTTATATCGCTCTCTTAAGGTGGTGGGTTCGTTTCACTTACGGCGTCGTTCGGTTCACGAATGCAGTTTTTAAGGGTTTCCCGAGGCTCGTCGTTGGATCATTCACTCCGTTGTTGTTTTTTTTCTTTCGGTTTTTTTTTCATAAGCAGACTGAAAAGATATAGTTCGGCTACTGAATTGAGTGCATGGCGCGACACTGTGAGCCGCAGATGTTATTTGGAATGCTTTCAGACTGAGTCCAACGTGGTTTGTCTTGTCATTCAGAAAATGCCAAGTGACCTGCTGCCAGAGAACAGGTGGTGCTTTTTCTGATTAATCACACTTGCAAATACGAATCTATTGAGATTGCTGCTTCCCGCAATGATGAACCGCATTTCTAGTATTAGACTGTTGTTGTTGGCACGTCTTATGTATTTAATGCGTGTGTATGCTATTGGATTTTTCTGAGACTGTAGTTTATGTCATTTGTTTCCACAATGGATAAATAGTGATGACAATCTGTGTGGCTTTCTTTAGTTAGAAGAGGAACGGAGCAACTATGGGGTAACACGCTGGATCTGCGATCACCCGATCAATACTTCCATTTTGGGGAGTTGCGTGGTCTCGAGGCATGGCGTCCGCCTCGAGTGCTGGAAGTCCAGGGTTCAAGCCCCTGTCAAGGCTGGTATTTGTTCACAAGGACTTCTAGTAATTTCCCCTGGTCTCTGGGTAGTAAGATCAGTCGCCCGTGTGTATTGTTGCGCATGTAAAAAAAATCCCTTGGCAGTTGGAAATCGAAAAAGAGTAGCATAACAGCGCTGCCAGGGAAAAAGTTTGAGTTTAAAAAAATCTGCATTACCAACTGGCGTGGGCGATCATGCCTTTCTACAATCTGCGGTCTACAACTGAGTGTATCAGTTCGTGTGTTGACACCTCTTTTTGCAATGACCAAAGGTCGTCAAGAGTCTTCTCGCGTTGTCTTTCTCTGTCTCTATTTCCATCGATTTTCCCAGTGGTCACAACATGCTCCATTTTCCCTCTTCTCATAACATGACCAAAAAATTATGACGGTCTCGTTCTGATGTCTGTGAAAAGTTGTTTCCGAGTACTCGCCTCTTTCGAAACATCTGAGTTGCTCTTCCTAGCTGTCCAAGGAATTCTAACTTCGAACTTATTAGAAGTCTTAGCAAGGTATAAACAACACAAGAGGATTATGATGATGATAATTATAATGACGATGACGACGACAATAATGATCACGACGAACAGTTAACATACTTCATAATTTGTTTCGTAGATAAGGGGTGAATGTTTTGTTTCTTCCGAACAAAATTGTTTCAGTGTGACTGACAACGTGCTGATTAAAAAAAAATTAAAAATTTCCGTTAAGTGTTGTGGGGAGGAAACGTTTGCGATCTATTGCTTGCTGGACAGCAACGGCTTCTGTCGTTCCATGTCGATGTAGAAGCTCTTTAATGTCATCAGTTCATTTTCTCCTAGGGCGGCCTCTTGCTTTCAATAACTTAGCCTTTAGCAAGGTGCCTGACCAGAATTGTACTTTACTCCAGTGGGTGCCATCCCATTATGGTATACCAGGAAACGAAACCGCGGATAAACTTGCTAAGAAAATGGCAGAATGTGACTAGGAAGAGAATGCAGTAACATACTTTGAGAAGAAAAGGGCCATATAGTTTACCAGAATATGGCCAGGGGTTACTACCACTTACGTGACCGACATAGACAGGTTATTGTGATTATTCTAGGCTCAGGACAGGACAAAACAAACTTAACCAGCATATGCACAGGCTTCGTCTAATTAGATCACCATTGTAACAGTGTAGGTTTGTGTGCAAACTGCAGAACTTGTCCTGCACAAATGTCCGTTGTTTAGCCTATTAAGAAGGGAAAACTACCCCAGTGAGTCAACACTGCACTCCTAATTATTCAAAACTAAACGGAATCTCATAAAAACCCTGAAGTTTGTCACAAAAACTGTCTATCGGTGTAAATCAGATAGCAAAATAACAATAAATAAAGTCACAGTTCATTGGCTTAATTTATTTGTATTAGCCTGACAGCATTCATCCTTGTTTTAACTTCTTTCCAACTTAATTTACAAGTTTCTAATATTAAACAGAAACACACATAGCATAGACTCCAGTGTACCTTTAACCATGCAAAACGTTATGAAAGGTTGCAATGATTTGTCAAGAACTGGGTTAGGCGTGTCCTTGGAGGAATACATTAAATAACAGGCCAGTAGTGAGTAACAGCCGGCGTACATGAGGTTGGATATGCAAATGGCGTAATCATGGAACGTTTCATGATTGGTCGAGACAAAGCTGAAATTCGGGGTATTGCGAATTGACCAATACAAATGTCTCATGTGTTGCACTTTGGTGAAAGCGAATCTGTTTCTATTGGTGGTGGTGTTTCTATGTGGAAATATAAGTTCAATGACAGCAGGGGAAATACTGAAAGTGCGAGCATTACTTTCGTTATTAGAAATTCCATCGACGTCTCTGGTTTGCTGGACGTTATCTGTTGAGAGGCGAGGCGGAGCTTGAGTATGATTGGCTTGTCTAAACTGTCGTAGTTGATTCACTGCGAGTTGAGTCTCTACATGGGTGGCTCGCTGTAGCTGGTTTAAGTCTATGGGGGGTGGAGATTGTGCACGGTGACGCCTACGTTCGTAGTCATAGAAGTCTTCTGGCCTTCTATTAAAATGATTGTTATTTTGATTACCAACCATTCTCTCTTGCGGTATATTATGATGTTGGTTGTCTCTCTGCACATTTTGTTCCAATACCTGGTTACCGCCAATAGCTGCCATTG